GTCCAGATGGAACAGAAGTTATTTGGCTCATCAGTCCTCATCATCGTGATCAGCTTAAGGATCGTTCGATGAACCAGAGAAGTCGATGCGCTTTCATGGGTAACGACGAACTCGTGGAAGCCCGGCCACAAACAATTAATACTTTGCCTTGTCGCAGAGATAATGGCAATTTTCGTGATCGAGGTGAGATGAAGCGAGATAGGTAGTAGTAGTAGAAGAGACTAGTTGCAGTTCCATGCGAACTTCGAAAGACAGATTCGAGGCTGACCGGCGAGCTTGACCGTGCCCTAGAATGCATCGGGAGAAACATAACTCGCCCGCCAGCATGGCACCATTGCTGTAACTTCGGGAGCAGAGATGCTGGCGCTCATTACGTAGGCATTCATCTGTCTAGAGTCTTCATGTCGATACGACATGTCAGGCGGCATAGCTCGTCATTTGTGTTAGTACATCTTGTTTTTTTCATCGTCGTCGTCTTCTTCTTCTTCATCGACGATTCCGTCGTCTATCTCGGAACACTTGACCTAAAACAAGCAATGCTGACCGGTCGGTATCCCCGAATGTTCGATACTCCTCGCTCCGATCCTTCTTATGCTTGCTGTATCGATCGATTGGTCCGCCAATCTGGCTAACTTGCTCGAATCGATGCACAACTTCTGAGCGAGAAGACTGAAGGCGACCGGACGACGACGCGACGGTCGGGACAGATCATAGCGTGTTCGGGTCGACGAGAATTCCGTTGTTGTACGAGCGGACGAGTGTTTGCTCACCGTGCATACCTCGAGGCGGGTGGGTGATGACAAATAGCTTCTCGCCCAGAAAACTTCACAGAATTTCACGTCGATGCTACGCGGCCAACGACGCCACTCGCTCGTCATCAAAGTCCAAAAAATGCCGATTCGCTTGGATTGATTTAGAAAACTTCAGTGAGACGTTGTAGCGTTAAGCCCACTGGCGATTGTCCGCAACGTGTGCTCCGCCTCATCGTCTCGTCTTTTCGGAAACAGTGACCTCTGCCGCGAATACCGTCGTATTCGATGTCGTAGCATCCGTTCGACGGCCGACGTTGTCTCCCTTCTCGGATTGATCCCTACGGACTCGGTGGATATCCATTGACTTGCGGACTTGGAGCGAGCTATGATGGGCTGGGATGGGAGATCGGCGACCGGGACTGAGCGCTTCCTGGAAGAGTCGCTTGGAATTCAACCCTCGGAACAATTGGAACAATCAAAACAGTTATCAGTCGGTCACATTAGACTCCGCCGTTTGGCAATGATTTGGGACACGACAGGAAGAATCAGTACAGTTACATTTAATGGATGCGCTCTCAGAATCGGTTGGACGACAGTTAGACAAAGCGACCGGCAGACCGACCGACTGACCAACGGCCGCCGATGGACGATGAGCGGGTATTAGTGGAGCTCCGGGAAGGGACGCAACTCGAAGGGCCCTGTTTGTGCTTTCCGTCCTCTTCCGAAAGCAAGCGAGCGACTGGCCAGCGTAGGCTGAGTTCTCTCAGCGGACAGTCGCTTGTTCGTTCCCAACAAGTAGGAGCAAGAGGAACCACACGCGAAAAAAGAATTCCATAATCATTCGTCAGCCACATTTAAGTATTTCTGTAGACGCTCTGCATCCAAAATGAATTCTGATCGGGTCGCACTTAGATTCGGAACTCACCACCGTCAACCCGGTTTAGAAGCCGCCACCGTTCCGCTAGCGGGACGGGTCCGAGCTGAGAACAATGAACGATGCGACATCCGCTCGCTTGCAGACGTTTGGACACTGAGGCCGATTCTTGTCGACGGCGAGGTCAGAAGATTGTTCTCAAGCTTTCCAGGAGGACCACGCTTCGTCCTCTTGTCGTAGGGCTCTGAAAATTCTTAGGGAAGTCCTGCGCGGACTAGACTCGGAGATTCGGAGCGTCTGAATCCTAGAACGTCCTGGTCCCGATGGATTCGTGATCGCAAGCGAGTGTGGCAGATCAGGCCGTCGAGCCGGACTCAGGCTCGCTTGCTGACAAGGGCAGTCTCCCGGCACGGAAGCTTGTCGATGACGTGTACACACTAGAATCACGCTGATAGTGATTTCACGGAGTGGCCCAACAGTGCGAAAAGAGAGAACGGTGAAGGCGGTACAGAGTGCGACGACGTCGGCCAAATCCATTTGTACAAAGCGGGAAGAAGCGAATGGTCATCGTCGGTTCCCTATTTTTTTTTATTCGGTAGTTTTGGCAGTTGCGAGACTTCTGCTATCGTTTCCTCCGTGAGTCAGAACTCAATTATTCAGCCTCTTGTTCTCTATACGTACCTCATTGAATGGCTGCGTGGGCTGTTCATAGCTCATTCCTCGTAATTTTTCTCCTCTTACGAGAGACTGCTGGGGGCGACCAGACATCTTTGCTGTTCTCCGAAAAATTAAGTGCTCGCTTCGGCATTGTGCGCCGCCAGCTTTCAAAAGACGGTCACGCGTCGTGATGCTTTTCAAAAGGAGCTGGTTGATCTACAGTTCGCTTGATGGTTCGAGTTTATAGTTTCCACGCTTCTCTAACGAAACAATAGTGGAAGCCTGCGCTCATTTTATGTACTGATATTCTCATATCAATTTTACACCGATCCGCTGTTCAACGGAGGGCCGTATATCCCTATCGGGGTGAAACCGGTACGGCCCTCCACGAGATCCGGAGAACTTCGACGGAGACCGCGATGGATAGCATCTCGTTATTCTATTGCTTGGAAGACCACACGAATCTTGGTTTCTAAGCCTCCGTTGCTCGAGTCCCGGACATTGCGTTGTGATGTGCAAGACGCGGTGTCAACGAGATTTCTGTGTTGTTTGTCGAATCTGTGCCGTCGCTTTCTGGTGTACGGAGTCATTTGTCTTCCCGCTGCTGAAAGCATTCGACTGCATCGAGTCCCACAGATCCCAAACATTGAGGGAAGAACGAGAAGGCCTGGAACAAGATTCATTTCACATGATCCGAAGGAAGGAAGCGGTAGACACATTTCGGCGATAGTTTGTCGGGACGGAGTCTTTCTCAATGTTCGTACTTCAGGCGGCTCCGTCGTTCGTTCTCGCGCTCGATATATACAAATTGACGCTCATTTTTCATTTGTATAACAGCTCCTCGATCCGTGAACGAGAGAACGTCAAAAATATGACTCACAGGAATTCCTGTTCGCCGTCCCGTATCTCGCTTATACAGGAAAAATCGGAATGCAGAGATCGTGGCTCTTCAACAATGGAAAACAAAGTTTCATGGCGCTGCTGTGGACAGCGCAAAGTGCTCGCTAAGTAATTGACACAAGTCGAAGCCATGGCCAAAAGTGAGATCTCGTCGCAGGCATCTCCGAAATTGATTTTGCATTTTCATCGGAAGAGTGGTTATGTCATCGGTTGCCTCACGCAGTAACCGGAAGGTCAGGGCCGCACAAGGTCGCAGCGGCTCCGTAGACGGCAGGCGGTCGAATCGGCGAACATTCTGTCGATTCACAAGCCGCACGGACAGGTACACACAACCACTCTTAAGTGCTTCCACTCTAGCCATCTATACGTCCGTGCGTCTGCTCGCTCATGCATCTGTTAGATTTCGGCAGCTTCTGCGACGATCGAACGGCCGGCCGGCCGGCCGGCCAGCCAGCCAGCCTTTTCAGCGACGCGGCCCGTCGAGACGACCGACAAACAGAAATAGACAGTTCGGGCGAGATCCGAGCGAGATCCTACGGCCGACAGATAGGTAGTAATGCCTCCTCGGCTCCGCCAGCTCACTCGACGAAAAACTCAGCGGAATTTCCATAAACCCATCTCCTGACAGGTGACGAAGTTGCGTAAATTCAGTGAGCAGATTATCCTTTTGGCATTATTCTGTTCTTTGTGTATTTTTCAAAGTTTCTCCTTCCTCCTTTTATTTTTTCTCCTCCTCTTCTCCATCTTGTCGAAAGAACAGCGTCGCTTCCAACTTCCTTCTGGAGAGCACCGGCTGAAATTGAAGGCAGAAAATTTGATTGAAGCCGAATTCCATTGAGGAAAGTTATCAGCGACACGTCGGTATCTTCGGTTTGTCATTGAGACGCGAACAAGCGAGCAGCTTCCGTTGTGTTTCCCCAAAGCCCGAAGTCTCAAGTCTCCGAGAAGCTCAGTCGGGGCTGCAGTTCCGGTCCGACGACGTCACTCGGATTCCTTCTTGTTCGAATCGGAAATCGCTGATTCTCGCAGGTTTTCATTCCGGCTCAAGATCGAGCATCGGTCATGAGTCGAATGAATTTCAAACGATTGTGCACGTTCTCCACGGACGAACGTTTTTCGCTCGATACGTTCAGAAGGTCGAACCTGATGCATTTCTGGGATGTTCCGTCTTTGACATTGAGAGCTTCGTGAGGTTTCCTAGGTCGACAAGGACACGTCTGTCGCATTATTTTTGACATCACTGTACAGCGACGCCGACCTACGTAAGCCCACTCATCAGGTGAGGTCACCTGTCTGTGCATACGATTACGCCGTCGAGACCGTTAGCGCCTGGCAGCGATACTAAAACTTGACGGTGTGACTCATCGACCATTCGTCATTATCGGCGGCTCGATGAGCATTCCTATGTTTTTCCGCGTGTGAGACAGACATGTTCCGATGTCGACATGTCGTCGGCGATCCGTGTCGCCTCATACTCGGCCGTCGGCTCGTGAGCTCCAGGTTCGAACTTGAAATCGTTCCGAAATTTGAGAATCGACGATTCCCGGGTAGCACTACATACCCACTTCGGCTGGAGAACGCCACCGGGAAAGGCTCACCGGGAAGAATCAGAAGGAGGATGAGGACCGTCTCTCATCGAAGTTCAGGCTGAGGAAAACTCGCTCCCAGTGATTCTGGGTCAGAATGTTTTTGCATTGAATGGGAATCGCTGGACGAGCATTCGGATCTCATGGATTCCACGTATTTCAGGTGATTCGTCAACCAGCACGATTCGGTCGTGAAGTATACGGCTGCCGAAGGCAGCCACTGCAGACGAAATGGGAGACGCACAATCGGCGTCAAGGGGAAGCCCCTTCGGACGAGGCGGATGTCTCACAGCTATAATAGTTCTAGTCTATTCGGCAATGCTCATCGCCTACGTTGATGCAGGTTCGTATAGTCGTCCCCATGATGAGAGCTCACGATGATCGCTTGTATCCGAGTAATTTGTTTTGCGACTGATGGTGTTGTTTCTTCTTCTTCACCGCGTGTACGCTTCGTACGACGTTCAGAAGCCAAGTATCACCACTTGTCACAATGATGGTGGTGATGACTGCGCCCGTCAGGGTCGTCGTCGCCAAGTCGGAATTCCGCGAGGGCGCGGCTCCTCAGAGCCCGCGGACGGTTTCGCAGATGATGTCGAGGATGATGCGACACGCGATGCGATTGACCCTCACTATCAGATAAGGAAACGAAATTGAATTCGGAGTCCCTCTCTTCCCCGTCAATTTCTTCCGAATCTTCCAACGAGGTGCCTCCAGAAGCTCGAGATCCCCGATGTATTATCATTGTGTAACGTTTCCCCGATCGCTAAGGCGGCCACCGGCAACGATACCGACCCCGGGGGAGGGCGCCGCCAGAAAATATGGACGAATTTGGTGACTAGAACAGTGGTTGCGTTAAATGACTCGTGACCGACTATCTGACGGTGGCGTCTTCGTAGGCAGCTCATATCTTGCCCTGCGAACGTCGTCCGGACCGTAGGGTATTGCCCCGCAGGCGGCCATCCGTGAAAACTCCGATGCGATAGCAGTGAATTCGGTAATGTTGCTGAACGGACCGTTTCTATGTCCGCTATGTTTCCATCGAGCCCGAGTGAACTAGCCAGCGAAACCTCAGAGCAAGGCAGCGATGCGCAGCAGGCCGCGAAATCTTTCCGTGAACGTTGAGGTACTTAGAGACGTTTCGGAATAAACTCAAGATTTCTGTGGACTTTCAAAGGTTCGATTGGCGAAACGTGATTTCCCAATGAGCACATTTGAGAGCCACTACTTCCACCTCGTTTTGCTCACGCGTTGAAAGCGCGGACATTTGCTGTCCGAGTCTTTTCATTCATCGGGAAAATGACGTTTTCGGAAATATTCTCCGAGATTCTCGAAAAAATTCCAAGAAGTTTCGAAAGTCTTTCATCGCTCAACGAGGAGCCGAATGCGACAAAGACGACAGCGGCGGCGGCGACCTGAGGGGACGTCGACGGCAGAACTAAACTTCTGTCGACTTCGAAGTTCTCTAAATTTTGACTCTACGAGTTCAGGATGGAAAAACAAATTCCTGCTTCGGTTCCCATAAGGCACCGAGGCGGGGACGGCTTTGGTGTTTGTCAAAGAGGCACAGGGTGCGGCTCTGCTTTCAAGAGCCCGAAGCTCTCGTCTCTGTTTGGCGAATACCGTCGCCGTCTCATTAGTCGGGTACGTGCGGTTCGATCAGTGGGATCCGCTCCTGAAGATTACCGAGTGAACACAGATCTCGAAGGCGACACGAACAAAAAAGAAAGCCGATGCGAAGATCATGATGCTTATTTTTTCTTCTCCGAAAGATCTCACTTGGCTTGCCTCCAGACTGGCTCGGGGATTCACTATACAAGTCAGACAAGCGACTGGGGAGAAAGTGTCTCCGAAAGTTTTCTTTTGAAGTGCACAAATGCTCGTCGTTCAAGTTTTGAAGGCGACAATTTAATCAAGTGTATGCTGCTTGGCAGAAACTTGAAACTCCATTCAAGTTTTTTCGTGGCTTGATGGCTGAGTCAACTCCCCAGCGGTTCTGCTCGGATAACTTTCGATCTGCGTTCCATCAGTGAAACCAAGATGAGCCCCGGACTCGCACCGGTAACAAATGTATTTGAGTTGCTGGTTCGCGGAACGCGCACACCGTGAGCGAACTCGCTAATCAGTACAGGGACTCGCATTCCGTCGGAGCACGCGGAGCGGAAACGACGTGGAATTCCGGAATTCCGAGGAGAGAATGAACCCCGGCGTGGCTTCAAGTTACCGAGGTTGCTTATCTGCACTGAAATAGTGGCGTTGACCCGAGTTGGTTATCGTTTTTCACCCGATCGTTCTCTGACAACGGCAGCGAAAATTCCTCAAAAATTCTTCTGGGTGCACCATCTGTTCGAGCAAATTACAAGCGGTGAGAGCCTGATCTTCGCTCGCAGCTGCCATTTCAATTTGGAGGATTTTTCGCGCAAGGACGCCACGGTCATGAGGTGGACGGCGAGTAGGGCTTGCGCGCCCGCGCGCTCACACACACAGTCACCGCGACGACGCGCATTGGGACACGCGGCGAGAATGTGGAGCACGCCGCTCATGTATGGCTATGCGTGTCACCTTTCGTACTCGTAGAATTCCAGGGTGATGAGAACTTCCATCATCTGAAAGCGGGATCGGCAAGATCGGAGCGAGCAGCATCGAAAAACAAAACACCTGACTAGATTCGATCAGTGCAGGCGATTACCTATCGCTCGTTTTGTACGTCGGGCCGGAGAGGGGTCACTTGACCCAGACGACGAGCGATAGAAGATCGAGCGGTGCCTGATGTTTGATTGATCCGCTTCACAATACCACAGCAACATACGAGACGGTGATTTGATTATAGAGCGGCGTGTGCGAGTGAGGCGGCTCCGAGAACGTGGCAAAAACACGACTCGAAAAAGAAAACAGGAGGAAGAGAGAAAAAACGCAACTCGACCCAGCCCGACTAAAACACACGACACACCAGAACATGTCGGCTAAAATTGATTTTTTGTATTCCGAAAGCACGCTGCTCTGAATCGGTTCCGGCCATCGGTTTTCGCCGAGCGAGTCCGCTCGCTGCTGCTGGACCGACTTAGGAAACTAATCTTGGAGCTAGAGGTTCGCGCTAGAGATCTACTAAGTTGGCGTCGATGAAGTCTTCGATGGGATGCTCCGCTAGAATCCAATGCCCTCGGCTTGAATGCCGCTAGCAGTCAGGAGCTTCTTATGAATATTTCCAAGCGGCGACGATGACGCCGATCAAGTACTCAATCTCATTGACGACGAGTCCGATTCCTCCATCGTCCCATCGACTTCTCCATCTCAAGCCGAAATATACGTGTTGACATGCGGCTATTACTGTCATTTTGGTGAGCTTCTTGAATCAAGACGCGTTCCGTTGCGTTCTCACACCATCTGTCGGCACACATACGAATCGTTTCACGAATTCCTCTCGAATTGTTTTCTCCTCTTCTGCGTTTCCACCGAATACCCTCGCATTTCCGAACATTCCGCATCGGAGCTAAGGTCGGAAATTCCACGAAACTGCCGCTGAACAAGGCAGTCGGACACGTTTTCCGCCTAGACGATACCCGACCTGCTTTGGATGAGCAGAGAATGTTTCTGCATCCGGAAGGGTCGGATGCGTGCGTCAATCCGATTTAGCCGCTCCTGAGGCAGCGGGTTCTATCCACGTCACGTGGTTTACGCGAGTAGAATGGACGATGGATTCCAGGAATCTCCACCTAGCGAAACTAAATTGACCAGCTGGCTAATCGCAGCGAGCAGCTCACGTCGATAAAGGAATCAAGCACGATTAAAAAATTTTCTTGCAGCGCCAGCAAAAGATAAGAAACCTCGGAGTCCACGAAGCGAATTAGGATGCTCGTACAACTTCACTCACTACGACAACGGGGCCTCGATTCAGACCCAGGAGCCGTGTCTCAACTGCACGTGTCAAGACTCGATGCTACTGTGCTACCTGAACGTATGTCCGTACGTGAAGGCGCTCGGAGAGGAATGCACGGTCACGAAGAAACCGGGTCAATGCTGCCCCGAGGTGCACTGTCCTTCTGGTATGTCTGAGACGATAGATTCCGATAAGCCTGGAGCCGAGAAAAACAAAAACTCATTCGGTAAATAAAACGTTTTCTTAAAAGTTTCCGCTTAAATTTGACGCTTTGCATCGAGCCCCTCCGATCATCCATGTCGGGGGGTCGTTGCCAAAGCGTCAAGCAACGATGTTCTGCACCAGGGCTCGCTTCCGACCGAAACGGTCTTGAGAGCCCTCCGCAAGAAAACATTGGCGGCAACGGAATGCCCTTAAAATCGCGTACGGAAAGACTCTCTCAACGCCGGAATGCTTCGTTCCCTGAACTGGGGGGTAGCGCGGCATAAGAAGATGGCTTTCAAGCACGATGTTGGGAAGCGGTGCAAACGATCGATGAATCTGAGAGCGGACGATTCCATCATGATGGGGTGCCCGGAGCGCATCTACTCTCTTTCTAAATATTCCCGTTCACGGCATCGGATTGTACGACCCCATTCCGACTGATGGTGATCGAGCACGATATTTGTCTGGGGGAAAACTCTATAGAACTGGTACCATTGACTCGAGTACGTTGTTGTACGGGGCAAGACGTCAAGATTGCTCACTAGGGACCGCCATCACTCAATTGTTGCAAACCCCACTCCTAATTGGACCCTTTGGAAATGAGTACAGAGAGACCCTCCGATCGAAGACAGAGTCTTCGGGCGTAGCTGTTGATTTCGGAAGCCGAAGACTCGAACTAGTAGCTGCTTCCCGAAACACCGAGAGAGAGAGTTGAGACGTTCAAGATTTTAAATTTCGAGCGTACTTGAGCTGCTAAGACGACGAAAACCCACTAATACATATGCGACAGAGACCAAAGACGCCCGGAGAAGGATTTTCGGGGACATTGTTCACTGAAATATCCCATTGATATCAGTTTCTTCCTGCCGGAGAATCGATTCTAGAGTCGAAACACCGTATTTCCTGTATTATAAGGGCACCCTCTGTTAGAAGAGCACCCCCGGGGGGATCGAGAAATAAAAGAGCACCCTCTATTAGAAGAGCACCCTCTATTTGAAGAGCACCCCCTATTAGAAGAGCACCCCCAGGTGGGTAGCCATAATCCCGCGACCTGATGCAGGCAAGACAATTGGAATAATCTGCGTCTTCTATCCCACGGGTGCCCTCTTGAGAAGTATTCTCTCCGAAGTCCGAATGGAGAATAGCCATATTATCGACAGGTACCCTCTATCAGAGGAGCACCTCCTAACAGACGGACGAGCTGTTGAGGGATCGAAAAATAGAAGAGCACCCTCTGTCAGAAGGGCACCCTTTAAGTGACGAACGAGCTGTTGAGGGATTGAAAAATAGAAGAGCATGCTATTACAATACAGGAAATACGGTAGTTCCTTCGCGTGTGTCCCTCTCCTGGTTTCGTAATCTGAAATATCGCCACGACTGAATCTCTGGTGGATAGTCTCTGATGAAAATGTTCGAGCATGGGAGCTATTTTGTTCAGCGCACTAACTGCATGGTCCTTACCTCTGGATATACGTAAACTACTGCGATTTTTCAAAAGTCCTGATGCTCGACTTTACACGATATGCGAGTTTTGCTGATTTTCCTGACATTGCATCGGCACCCCACTTAAACTCACCGTGATTGTTCCCGCAGTGCCTGTTCCTGTGGTCGACTACGAATACGAAACGGAGCAGTCGATGGGAGACCACGATGGTGAGTCCCCTCATATGATGTAGTCGCTAATCCAGCAATTTCGTCATTTTCCCCCTGGAAAAATACTCACTCAGAATCTCTCACAGGATGTTACATCGACAACAAATTCTACAATGAGGGTCAGAGACTGCCAATGGATCCGCTGAATCCTTGCGAAACTTGTTATTGTGTCCGGAACAGTTCATCGTGCGTTCTACAGGACTGTGTCCTTCACATCGATGGCTGTTCCCCAGTTTTCCATAAGAAGCGGCCCACTTGCTGTCCGGCACGATACGACTGCTGTGAGTGTACTCCCGAGCGACAAAAGAGCGCCTCGGAGCCTCTGGGGGAAACTGATGCTTCGAAATTTCAAAGGCTTGATGGTTGTTTCGGGATTCATTGAAGCTGATTCTGAAATGAGAGAATTTCAGCTATCATGGTTGAGCAAGAGACGTCGACGACCGTGGCTCCTGAAGGTTGTGATCACGAAGGGAGGATATATGCTATCGGTGATTCCGTACCGAGCGCAGACAAATGTCAAAACTGCTACTGCATGCCCAACAATACTGTGATTTGTCAAAGCCAAGAATGCCAGACACCACCCGGGTGCACTGCTGGCGAATTGGCTGAAGGAGAATGCTGTCCTACCAAGTTCGACTGTGAGTCATTGTCTCACTCCCTTGCAGAATTCAGCTCAAGTCTCATGGACTGGTTCATATCATATGATAGGATCATCCAATTCTGAGAATTCATCGTGCTCAGAGAATCTCCCGATCACGAAAACCAACCTCGACTTGGCTTGCAGGTCCCTCCGCGACTACTCTGCTACCAGATCAAGATCTGGCTACGACCGTCATGCCAGAAGAGGGACGAGCGGACAGCACCGAGTCCGTCGAACTGTCCTCGGAAGCCTCGGCTACCGCCGTCCATAAATATTCGGAAGTGACCACGGAATCCCAAGCCGAAACCACGCCCCAGAGCTCAAGCGAGCAACCTCGCTTGAGCACGACTGTTGCTCCTCCTACATCCCGGGGCGAGCAAGCTCGAGCCGACGAGTGAGATAATTTTTCCCTCTTATGATTCCTCCATCTCCCAAGTTCCGTTGAAGTCGAAATTCATATCAGCGATCTAATGATCGACTGTTAGTTCTTCCAGCTGTGAGATCGAAGGAGTCGCCTATAAGCTCGGAGAAAAGATCATCATGAAAGACCCGTGCCTGGCAAACTGTACCTGTGGAGCTGAAGGTCTCGTGCAGTGCGATCATATAACTTGCCATGAGCCCGAGCAGGACATCTCTGAATGCAAGGTCGTCAAGGAGGAAGGAATGTGCTGCCCGTACTACGATTGCCCGCACGACGAAACGACGCCTGTGCCCGGTCCGGGAGGTACGATCGATTTCTTTCTTTCATTTCGATCAATCGATTCCACATCAATAATGTTTTTCGTGCTTTCCTATCTGGATCGCTCTCTCCAATCTGAATTTCATCCACAGAGTGCATCATCGACGGTGTGAGGTACGCTCACAATACGACGGTGCCACAAGATGACGTATGCCGTCAGTGTCTCTGCTTGAACAGTGAATTGATTTGTGCTGTCGAGGAATGCGTCGAAGGAGACGGGTGTATCCTGCTGCCGCCAACGAAGGACATTTGCTGTAACTACAAGTGCGATGACGACGAGGAAACTACAGACGCCACCCAGTCTCCTCAGGATCTGATAGCCTCAACAGAGGGAACGACGTTCGCGCCCGGGCTAGAGCCGAAGAAATCCGACGTCGAGACCACGCCGGCAGCCGAAGTTTCAACGGAGTCGTCAACATCCGTCGTCACCGAAGCTGTGTCTGAAATGTCGTCTACGACCGAGGCTGCCACTCAAGCTTCTGAAGAGACCTCGTCGACAGCTGGCAGCACAACGACGGGGGCTTCGAGTGAGAGTCCGTCGACAACTGAAGCATCGACTCCTGAAAGCACAGAAGGAGGCTCGACCGAAAGTGCGGCCGGTAGCTCGACGGAAGCGAGTACAGAAGCGGCGACTGAAGAATCGACTTCGGCCCCGCCATCAACAGAAGCTTCCTCAGAGAGCGCTCCCGAAGCTTCCACCCCAGCGTCCACCGAGGCCTCGACCGCTGCGGCCACCTCCGAACCTTCGTCTGAAGCGGCTCCAAGTGCTGCAACGGAGCAATCGACTGAGGCCGCAACGGAGCCATCTACCTCGGAAGGATCCACGGACAGCTCGTCGATTGCACCAACCGAGAGCTCCACCGAGACGTCGTCGGAAGCCTCGTCGTCCGCAACTGCCGAAAGCTCTACCGAAAAGTCATCGGAAGCCCCGACAGAAGTTCCCTCTGAAGCGTCTTCCACGGAGGCAGACGCATCTTCTGCGGCCCCTACGGAGGAGAGCTCCACCGAAGGAACTACTCCAGGCTCCACCGGAGCCTCAAGCGAAGCCTCTTCAGAGACCACCAGCGAAACGAGCTCATCATCTGAGAGTCCAAGCACAGAATCGGCAGCAACCTCTTCGGAAGCAGCTGCCACCGAGTCGACCACCGAGGTCCCGAGTGAAAGTCCCTCGACGGATATTTCCTCGACAGAAAGTGGAACGTCTTCCGCTCCAGAAGCGGCGTCAGCGTCCACGGAGACCGCATCGACTGAAGCGTCGACAGAAGGAGCTCCGACTGAGGCGTCGACAGAGGGAGCCTCGACTGAAACTGTGACTCAGGAATCGACCACTGGTAGCGCGGACGAAAAGAGCGCGACCGAAGGTAGCACGAGCGCCGCGGATTCCACAACTTCTGCGAGCGAGGACTCTAGTCAAGGTGAGATTTCCCGTCTCCGCACCCATGCTCATATGACGTTATCAGCACGAAACTGAGTCTGAAATTAATTATCCTCGCATCCAGACTGCGTCTATGACGGAATGACATATCCGAACAACAGTGAGATACCAAGTGATGACGCCTGTCGCTTGTGCAAGTGTATCTCAGGCGAAGTCACTTGCGCGACCGAGATCTGCGAAGAGCCCGATGAGGGCTGCGAACTCATGCCGGCTACAAAGGCCGAATGCTGTAACTACAAATGCGCAGACGACCAGATCTCTTCGGTTAGTATAGAGTTCGTCAGAGGATTTCGACTGAAAATCAGAGGATTATTAGAAAAGCTGCAGGATGTCCTCTGATTATCGCGGGATCTTAACTTGTGTCATTTGCAGGAGAAACCTGGAATCGAGAGCAAGTCCAGTCAAACAGAAAAGCCCTCCGAGCAAACAACTGAAGCACCAGAAGCAGCGCCGGAATCTTCGTCGGAGGGAAGCACGGAGGCTACCAGCGAGACTACCACAGGCCTGGCCTCGACCGAAGCGTCTTCTGAAAGCACACCAGAGTCTTCGGATGCTCAGACTGATTCCACCGCCTCCACAGAAGGGTCAACAGAGCCAAGCACCGAAGCCATTTCGTCCTCAACTTCAAGCGAACCCAGTACAGAAGTCGCGCTCGATGGCACAAGCTCTCCTGAAAGGGCAACAACTGCAGCTACCGAGGAAAGCACAAGTGAGGCTACCGAAGCAACTTCTGGTGCATCTACCGAGGGAACAAGCGAGGCAGCTACCCGAAGCACAAGCGAGGCAACCACTGAGAGCACAAGTGAGGCAACCACTGAGAGCACGAGTGAGGCAGCTACAGAGAGCACGAGTGAGGCAGCTGCTGAGAGCACGAGTGAGGCAGCTGCTGAAAGCACGAGTGAGGCAGCTACCGAAGGAACAGTTGGATCCACTGTCGAGCGTACGACAGGCGCATCCACAGAAGGCACGAGTGAGCCGAGCACTACAGCATCGCCTGAGGTTTCTACTTACGCTGCGCCCGAAGCCTCTAGCGAAGGCACAACTGAAACTCCGACTGAAAGTACCACCACCCAGAGCTCGACAGAAGCACCTGAACAGTCCTCAACCGAAACTTCTCCGGACTCGACCACCGAGACGCCGGAGGCCTCCTCGGCTGCTTCTAGCGAAGCATCCTCTGAAGCCTCGTCTGAGGTAACTACAGAAACTCCCACGACACCGGCCACAGACGAAAGCTCTACGACGCCGGCCGCAGACGGAAGCTCCACGACACCGGCTGCGGAAGGAACCTCGTCCGAAGGTTCGACGGAGGGTCCAGCGTCAACAGAAGGGACAACTGAAGCTGGCAGCGACGCAACGACTGCTGCAGTAACCGAAAGTAGCACGGAATCGACTTCAGAAACGGTGTCTGAGAAGTCAGCCGAAACGGATTCGACAACTGCCTCGACCGAAGGTCCTTCGGGTGAGACCTCTGAGAGTTCGACATCCGCAACAGAAGCATCGAGCGAGGCGACTTCCGAGTCCAGTACTGAGAGCAGTACAACTTCTGCTGCTGCGGCTGCTTCGGTTGCCTCCACGACCGAGTCGGCCACTGAATCCTCGACCACGTTGTCCTCTGAAGCCTCTACCGAAGCAGCGCCTGCTGCCGCCGGACCTGAATCGACTTCGGCTGCAGCTCCTACAGAAGCTAGCGATCAAGGTGGGAATCTGACTTTTCGAACGTTTCCGATGCTCCTTTCTCATTTCTTACTTCGAGTCGTGTCACGTCGAGATCTTCGCTGACAAAAACGGGGACGCATCGATCAATGATGTTCATCGCGTGGATATGATCCTATGATCTTCTTCATTTTTCCAGTTTGCGTGATCGATGGCAAAACTTTCGCGCACAAAGAGTCGATACCGAACGATAATCCTTGCCGCATCTGCGAGTGCATTTCGGGAGAAATGACTTGCGCTGACGAAATCTGTGATGAGCCTGAGGATGGATGTGAGCTCCAGCCCGCAACGAAGGACGAGTGCTGCGTCTACAAGTGCCAGGACGAGGAACAATCTACCGTAAGACGACTATCCGCAGCTAAATCTATCCAATCGATCAACTCCACGGGACTCAAATATTTAACTTTCGATTATGTCTTTCAGACGGAAGCAGGAATCGAATCTAAATCCAAAGTATCGGGAACACCGTCCACAGACCTAACAACGGAAGCAGAGCAGAGCACACAGGCGAGCACGAGTTCGCCGACGACAGCGGAGTCCACTACTGAGACACTGAGCTCAACGGAGGCTGCGTCTGAATCTTCTTCGGAAGGAGAGCCTTCAACACCGGCTGCGACATCTGATGCATCGACTTCCGAGAGCTCATCCGAAGAACCTCCGTCCACTCCTGCGAATGACGCTGCGACAACCTCCGCTGAAGCCGGCACGTCGACCGAAAGCTCGAGCGACTCCACCACCGAAAGCACCTCAGCGCCATCGTCAGAAACTCCAGAGACAACTTCAGCAGCAACAACTGAAGAGAGCACGCAAGCGTCCTCGAGTGCTTCACCCGAATCAGCTCCCGAAGCGATGACCGAGAGCTCTGAATCCACAACCGTGGGATCCACGGAATCGCCAGAGGCTTCGACGGGAGCACCCGCAGAAGCGGAAGCGACCGAGTCTCCGTCGACTGCCGCCACGGAAGCGGAACCCGATGCGTCTACTCCATCTGAGTCTTCGTCCGAGGCCTCAAGCGAGGCCTCGACCGAGCCCTCAACCGAAGCTTCGTCCCAGCCCTCGACGGAAGCCTCTACCGAACCCTCGTCGGAAGCTTCATCTGCAGCCTCGACGGAGGTCTCGTCCGAGTCATCGACTGAGGCCGCATCTGAAGCCTCGACTGAAGCTCCCTCCGAGCCCTCGACTGAAGCCTCCTCCGAGCCCTCGACTGAAGCCTCCTCCGAGCCCTCGACTGAAGCCTCCTCCGAGCCCTCGACTGAAGCCTCCTCCGAGCCCTCGACTGAAGCGACCTCCGAGCCCTCGACTGGAGCCTCCTCCGAGCCTTCGACTGAAGTCTCGTCCGAGCCCTCAACTGCAGCATCGACGGAACCCCAGACGGAATCGTCGCCGTCAGAAGCCTCATCGACTGAACTTGCGACGGAGTCAGCATCCGAAACTTCCACTGGAGCGTCCACCGAAGCTTCCACAGAGCCCTCCACCGTACCTGCCGAAGAGTCATCCACGGGCGCGTCGACTGAGTCGTCGTCGGAGTCCTCCAGTGAACCTCCGGCCGATATCTCAACAGGTGCTCCGACTGAATCGACGAGTGAGCCGATTGGCGAGGCAACTACCAAGAGCGGCGAGACAAGCGAAGGGACTTCGGAAGCGACCACCGACTCTTCAACCGGAGCTTCTGTCGAAACAACCCCTGCCGCCGACTCTACAACGAGCGTTTCTACCGGTGAGAGCGCCAGCACGACTGCTGAAGCGGAAGCCGCTCCTGCGCAGACCACCGAATCGTCGAGTCCTGGTCCCTCGGACGCAACTACCTCAGGCCCAGAGGAGACCACTTCATCCAGTCCCACCGGTAAGACAGAGAATGACAATTATCGATGTCCGAAGTAGACTTCTGAAACGGGTCATCTCCCCTGATTTCTTCAACAATATACCTAATCATCTCTCTGTCCTTCCGCAGAGTGTATGGTGGACGGCAAAACGTATCCGCTCGGCGGCGAAGTTCCAAGCGACAACCCGTGTAGGATTTGTCAGTGCACAGCCGAGGGAATGGTCTGCGCAGATGAAGTTTGCGAGGATCCCGAAGACGGATGCGTACTTCAGCCCCCGACTGCTGATGAATGTTGCAACTACAAATGCGAAGAGGCAATTCAAACTGTAAGTTTTTCCTAGATGCAAGGAGTTCTTCTCGGAATATCCCCCCAGGAGAAGCTGCTCTAACTTCTTCTCTACGCCCCCTCAGGAGAAGCCCGGAATCGAGAGCAAGTCCAAACCCAAAGAAGAGGCTACAGAAGCTGCTCCTCCGTCGGATGCATCGACAGAATCGACGACCGCCGCCGCCGAGGCTGCTACGACGACTGCCGCTCCAGAAGACGCGACAGACGCTCAGACATCAGCCGCCCCGAGCTCCAGTGAGCCGACCACGGAGGCAGCCACTGATGCATCAACTGAGGAGTCTTCGACTGTCTCTACGCCCGGAGAAAGCACCGAGCTGTCCTCGGAGGGCTCTGTGGAGAGTTCCACCGGGAGCAGTACTGGAGCTCCATCTGACGAAACCTCGACTCAAGACTCCACTGAGTACTCGTCGGAGGCCTCTTCGGAGTCTTTATCTGCCTCCACGGAAGCTGGAACCTCGGAAGCAACTCCTGCCTCCAGTGAAGCTGCGACCTCGACTGATGCGACCTCAACCGAGGCAGTCAGTGAAGCGTCCTCGGAGACGTCGACAGAGACCAGCTCTTCCTCCCCATCCTCGGAGACGTCGACAGAGACCAGCACCGAAGCCGCGCCAAGCAGCACCAGCAAAGCCACCAGTGAGGACTCAACCACCCCATCGAGCGAAGCGCCGACCACGGTGCCATCCGAAGGAACGTCAGCCGCATCCGCGGATGCATTCACGGAAACTTCATCCGAAGCTTCTACCCAAGCAGCGACTGAAAGCTCCCCTACGACCCCGGCCGAAGCTTCGACGGAGCTGTCCACCGAAGGAACTACAGATGCTCCTTCTGCCACAACGTCAGAGAGCTCTACGGATTCAGGAACGGAAAGATCGACCGAAGGATCCACCGAAGGATCGACCGAAAAATCCACAGAAAGCGCATCTGTGGCTTCGACAGAAGCCGCCGAGACTTCTACAGACGGATCCACCGCCTCCTCGGCAGAAGCAACCACCGTGGCTGCAGAAGAATCATCAGGAAGTTCTACTGAAGCTTCAACCGAGAGCACTACTGCCATTCCTACATCCGAATCCTCTCCGGAAATCTCGTCCACCGAAGGCACAACCATCGGCGAATCTGATTCTTCTGAGCGAACGACGACAACAACGAGTCCCGAAAGTGCTCCAGAGGCCATCGGATCGTCCTCCGAATCGTCTTCGGAAGCAGCGGAGAGCTCCACCGAGAGCTCAACTGAAACTTCGGAAGAACGCCGACCTCCTCTCACTGCTGGTGGTTAGTGTGTTTTTTGATTACCTATACTATGATATGGAAACATTATAAGACTCTCATTAATTTGGTGACTCCCCAAAAGCTGGTGCAACGAGCCCCGAGGATGAGGAATCTAATTTTATTCCTCCCCAGGTTCTTGCACTGTCAATGGCGAAGTCTACGAACATAACACCACCGTCAAACACGAAGATCCGTGTCAGCTGTGCATGTGTATCGACGCAGAAGTCATATGCTCCACTGAAATCTGCCCAGAACCCGAGCCTGGCTGTACGCAGATGGCCAAGAATGCGACAGAGTGCTGTGTGTTCGAGTGCACCGCAACGACGACGCCAGCTGCCACAACTCCTGAGAACGAGCCTTCAAGAGAGGACGTATCGTCAGTAGGACCTTCCACAACGGAAGAAATTTTCGAAACGACAACCGGAGCTGAGGCCACCACACCGGTCGATGTATCCTCAGAGACGCCCGAAGAAATGTCTACAGCGCTCCCCACGGTCCTCCCGACTACGACGGCACCCGAAAATGTTACGGACTCCGAAGAGACCGAAGAAGAAGTCACTATCGGTCCTGGAGGTATGTCGGAGTCGTGCATGAATTGTTAGCTTAATATTTTAGGATAATGCCCTTCCTCAGCATAGCTCGAGATTTATCTGACGCGGGATCACGATTCTAACTGAAGTAATTCCCCCAGAATGCGTGTACGAAGGTCGAGTTTACCAGAGTGCGGCGCAAATCCCGCGACCCGATCCCTGCGACTTCTGCTTCTGCTTCCGTAGCGATATCATCTGCCTACAGCAAACGTGTCCACCCCCGATAGCAGGATGTCACGAAACCGCCATTAACGGCTATTGCTGTCCACGATACGAGTGCCGTAAGTATCCCTGTAGAGAAAGACACCAAATCGTTTTCGGTTACGGTGTCCAATTAGCGCCGTCCTACGTGCAATCTGTCCGCCTGACAAGTATTCGATAATCCAGATGTCAACATGGCGTATCGCAATACGACGAATGACGCAGTGACCACAACCACAACAACAACGACGACATCAACGACTCCGGAACCCGCGAGGGCAGATGAGGAGATCGGTGAGATTTTCGCGATTCTTCCCCACTCGCCACTTACAATGATATCCCACCTCGATATCCGCTCCGAATGATTGATTTCTGTGACACATCCCCTCACAAGTGGAATATGCAGCACTCAAGAAACATTCCTCTATTCCCAGGTTGTCAAGTCAAGGGTGCCTTCTACCGCATTGGTGAGCTGATAACAGCTGTCAGCACACCTTGCATGGAATGCCGCTGCGACGAGACAGGCTCAATGAAGTGCGACCCGAAGGACTGCCAACAAAACGCACCGTTGTTACTCCGCATGAATCGTTCTTTCTTCAGATCTAGTAGCTGAGCATACGCGACCGACAGAATGAGAAGATTAAGCGTATACTCTCTGGGGGAAGAGCGATACGGGACGCAACGGGAGCACGTTCCCACGAGATTCCGTTCACAAGAACGAACGTTCAGACACTAGGTATGCGTAGGTAGCGAACTGTCGGTCCGTTAGTCCGTTTGTCAGTCAATCCGTCCGTTCGTCCATCTGTCTGTTCGAAGGTCGGCAAGCCTGCTTGATACACGACGAGTCTATTTAGGTCCATGTTTCTATCTGTACAGTAACGGCAGACGAAGCTTCAGGCTCCCAGTCTGTTCGATTCGTTCCCAAACTCCCAGCCGCTGAGACGGAGTGAATCATGCCGCTTATTCATGGAGGGATAAGATTTTTCGCTTCTGTCGTCGCTAATTCAAGTCATCGAGTGCAGCTATTTCTTCTCGACTTTCTCTCTCAGTGGTGGTCACTTCGATGATTGTACATTTGGTGCCAAATGCTGTTCGAAGTATTCTTCTGTACATTGGGGTGATTTTCCCTTAGACAGCAGCTATTTTGCGAATTACCCTCCTCAACCCTTTGCTCATACGACCTGAATTCTCCCCGCCTCTCTAGACACGAAGTAGTTCGTCCGACCAGCACGAGTGTTCAACTAGCGCGGAAAGAAATCGACCGCTAAACTTGAAAAGCTCGGGGGAAACGAGGCAGGAAAACCCGTCAACTCAATTGCACTAACTCAGACGAACATAGATATTAGATCGCTCTGCTCGAAGTAGAATACTGCTCGACCTTTCCTCCCGGGTCCTAGTTGTAAATATAGAATAAAATGTAGTATGGTGGGACTTTCAGTGTTGCATCAAAGTCGCACAATACGACGCGTATGATATGGAGGAGAAAGCTCAGCTAGGTTGCCCGCTGCCTTGAAACAGAGCTGAATGCTGATCGCAACAAAACAGATATTTCTTGAGAGTATGCAAAGTTCTCGGTGTCGTCGTGAATACATCGGAGCGTAAGCTTCGCGAATATTGATGCCCCGTACAGGACGTCTGATTTGAGAGTCTATGTGTATAAACACGACGTGCTCACCGGAGCACCTGATAGGAATCAGTGCTTAAAGCATGCGACTAAGGCAGCTCCTACCGAACCGCAGAGATTACGGTTCGGTCGTCCTATTTGGTCAGGTATTTATTCATCTTATTTATTTATTGTCATGCTTTCTCCGCGAGACGATAATCTTCTTCTTCCGTCATTTTACTACTATTTATACGCAGGAGCTAGGATAATGAAAATCTCGGGGGCATAGATAGGAGGACTTCCGAATGTTCTTTGATACATATCGAGACGGCCTGATGAAAATCCGATTGCTGTTTGTATACAGACCTGTAAGCGTTTCAGTGGGGGATTCGATTGATGTACTTAATAAAGCATTCAACATAACGACATCTGTCGCTCTCGTTCATTCACTGTCCCGATGCTCGAGCGGACCCAACGGAAGCGAGACTGGAATTTTCAGAGTTGCTCCCCGGACAAACGCCCTCTCAGAGATGAAGCTCCTGACTCTTCTTTTTGGAGAGCCACTTGCCAAACGGTGAGGCCATGATTCTCAGGGGGAACTGCGAGTGCAAAAGGAAGGAAGACTGAGGACAAAGTAGAAGATCTACAAGAAAAAAAATCTGAGTCCAAATGAGTCTTGACTCAAGACTCAAGACTCATTCGAGGGAATAGCGTAGGATTACGCTTGACGATGGCTAAGTTCTCGAATATCTCCGATGATGGGAGAGACAGCAAACCAATATCTTGGGATTTACAGAAAGAATAAGGAATCTCGTATTGATATTAAGGATTAGAATAGAATTTTCGAGTAATTTTTTTTTCTCACTTCGTTTTTTTTTGGGAGCAAGAAGATGCCTTATGGTGATGCCTGGGTGCTGGGTGCACACCCAGGAATCAATCTGGGTAGTGTGAGACTCGCACTCACCGAAAACCTGCTCTTCTTCATCTTTGTTCCTTCTCATCCATTGAATCGTTTTGATGCGGGGCGATAATTTTTTTTCAGATTATAGATATTTCGCCCATCTTGCTCTGCTTCCTTTGTCTTTTGATACGGCTCAAACAATTCCTAGCCGCGAAATCCGTAGAACATGGGCTTGTGATAAAAGTAGCTTATATTGGTGGAGCATTCCAAACTTGGACAATCCCGGGTGAAGATCAAATCCAAACATGTTTGCCCTCTTGTTGTAGAAATTGGAAGCGTCCTAAAGGGAGAGAAGTGTCCTCATTGGGGGAGTCGAATGCGATGCTGTGGGGATAGCTTTTGAGGAAGCCGGTTTCCTTGGGAAAACACGAAAATAATCATGACCACCAAGAGATGGAAAGAACTTTCTTTTCTTATCCGTCTCGCGGATGAATGACGCTCAGAAAAAAATTCGTTTGGTGCAGTTCCGCCGTGGTGCAGAAGGCTTCTGGGCGGAAAATGTCCGAAAATCAGGTCAAGAGGGGCAAAAAATTGTTTAACTCTCGTAGACAAAATGTGTTGGGCATTCGGGCCCATGTCTAATTTTCAGCATTTTTCCTCAGCTTTCCAACAAAACCAACCCAGGGTCTCCATCTCTTCTCGTTGTCCCACAAAAATATTTTGAAGAGGATGAGTCATTTTTAAGAGTCAACAGAGGAGACGACAGCAGAAACAACATCTCTGAGTGGAAACAACTCTTCAGAAGTCCATTTCGATCAGCTCCGCGGGCTCAGGTGTAGGAGAAGGAGGATCGAAGCCTGTGTCCATGAATGCAGGCGAGTCGGATGAGTTATTGCTCGATTGACGGGGCTTCGGGACCGCCACAAAATCCGACCGGCCGGCCCTTCCTCTTTCGCGGCACAAGCGCCCCCGACATGCTTCACAGAAAACACTTCCTAACCTCACTCGAATCTCGGGAAACCCAGTCTGGAACGATAGTTGAAGAGCGCGCGATGTGATCCTTGTTCTGCGCCGCCCCTTTCTCGTCAGCCAGCGCCTACAACCTTCGCATTGAACATTGGGCATCTCCTCAGAGGAGGAACCGATGGTCTGGTACAAGTGGGAAATTCGGAGGTTTCGCAGGATTGCACGCAAGATTTTCAATATTGATCGAAGCTGCCGTCGCGCCTCGTTGTTCGTTCAACTCATACGGAGCGCGCGCGGTCGAGAAAGCGTCTGCTAAAGACTAGAGAGGCGGCGGCGGGAATATATCTGAATGCTTACCATTGCGCAGAAGGGCGGTATGATCATGAGAATGACTCCAGAGCCAGAGCGCAAAGCACGCGGGGAAGTGAAAGAAGTGGGGGAGTCGAATGCGATGCTGTGGGCATAGCTCTTGAGGAAGCCGGTTTCCTTGGGGAAACGTCGAAAACACGAAAATGATTATGACCACCAAGAGATGGAAAGAATTTTCTTGTTTTATCCGTCACGCGAATGAATGACGCTCAGAAAAAATTCGTTTGGTGCCGTTCCGCCGTGGTGCAGAAGGCTTTTGGGCGGAAAATGTCCGAAAATGGGGTCAAGAGGGGAAAAAAATTGTTTAACTCTCGTAGAGAAAAAGTGTTGGGCATTCGGGCCCATGTCTAATTTTCAGCATTTTCCCTCAGCTTTCCAACAAAACCAACCCAGGGTCTCCATCTCTTCTCGTTGTCGCTCAAAAATATTTTGAAGAGGATGAGTCATTTTTAAGCGTCAACAGAGGCCGATTTTTTGTTCCACGAATATTTGGGAATGAGGGGGCGATTGAGGTTGACCAATTGCGTGGATATGCTTCACTAAGGGAGGGGAATCATCGCGTATCAACAGATTTGAAATCCCCGCTTGGGCCGAAAATCATCCCTCATTCCGCTATACCCTTTTGACAAAGACATCTTTCTGGTCCCCGATTTAATATCATACCTGAAATCAACACAAAAGATCATCTCGATCTCGATGTGATAAATTTTGTCCATGATATTTCCAGGGTCTGATACCCGTTTCGTTCTGTGGCCGGATCGGATTCTCTTCACATAACGTGAAGTTCTATCAACTTTGAGACGGAAAAGGAGCCATCGCGAGTCGATCCATCTGAGGGAGGCCCAAGAAGTTTCTATCACAATCGGATTTTTCTTGGTAGATATGAGAACCAAGAAAATATAATTTGAAGAGGTCCGAAAAGTCAGTGAGCTCAACCCTCGGAAGAGCCCCTAAGCTTCCGATCGACGTCACTGTCGTCGAAATCAGTCGGAGAAAGTCGATTGAAGCGGACGTCGCGCTCTCGGCTTCACCAGCCTTGGACGAAGCTGCTCATTCAATTGGCACGGAGATCCTTTCGTTCGGCGCACTTCCAGCGATACGAACTCGTAAGCTCAGACAAACCACCCGCTTCGTATTCTCGGCCTCCGGATCCATGAGATGCACCGGAACCTCGGGCCTATCAATAGGAATGCCGGATCGGAAAGATCTTGCTCTCCAAGGCCTCCTTGTAGGATGGTGTCGGCGCCGCTGATAAGTTCGATGAAGTTCCTCAGCCGATGCTATAGGACCCGAATGGAGCTTCAGCTCATCTTCCAAGCAGTCTCTCAATGCTTGATCTTCACTCACGGAGGGCATATCGGTGCGAACGTGTGAAAACACTAAGGCGTACTTGCCAGTATGTGAACGTGCGGGGCGTAGATTGCAAGATCTGAGCGCAGCGATCGGGTGTTCGAATCCGTAAACAAGTCATTTCCTCGGCGGTTACTTCAAAACTTGATGTGCCAGGAGAGCGCGCAAAACCATGAAAAGCGACAAAGCGTTGAGAAGGCTCACGGAATCAGTGCACGATGGAGTCTCGAAAAAACAAAATCAGATCCCTGATTCAGGTTTTCCACCGCGACGGGTGCAGTGCCGATGTCATTCTCGGAAAACTCCGCGCAAACTTATCCGGCAAGATGCCATCAACGCGGACCACGCGGAGATGGATAAAGCGGTTTGAGAGCGGAGAGATCAGCCTAATGAGCCCGCGACGAGAATCCGAAAAAGAGTCTGC